TATGCGTGTATTGCCTACATGTAAGTAAGTGCACCTGTGTCATGCAATGCCTGCGGAGGACAGAAGAGGCCGTCGGATCCTCTGGAGCTGGAGTTATGGACAGTCGTTAGCTGCCATGTGGGTGCTGGGATTCGAACCCGGGTCTTCTGCAAGAACAGTCAGTGTTCTTAACTGCTGAGCCATCTCTCCAGCCCCAATGCCCCAATAAATGTCTTAAGATTTCTGTTTACACCACAGTCTACATTATGGTAGAAGACAATTATGTTGGAATTATCCATGGAAACAGTTTGCCAGATAATAACTTTTAAGTGTTAAAATTTATTTTTTGTTTTATAAAGATTTATTTAATTTTTTGCGTATGTGTGCACGCCTGAGTGTGTGTATGTATAACACATGTGTGCAGGCAGTTGTGAGCTGGCCTTGTGAGTGCTGGGAACCAAACCTAGGTCCTCCGAAGGGCAGCCAGTTCTCTTAATCACTGAGCCATCTCTCCAGTCCCTAAGTGTTAAATTTTAAAGAATACCAACCTAATAGTAAGCCAGTAAAGGCATGAACAAAAAAATTCACAGCCACTATATTATGTATAATATTAAAAGCCAATAAACAACTCAAATGTTTACAAACCAATAAAATTAACATGAAAATCACTAGTCATGAAATCTGCACAGCAACAAAACAGCAAATTACTATCACATGTGACAAATGTAACCCAGAAACAATGATGGGCAAAAGACTCTAGAAACAGTAATCTCTGTGTTATGTGATCCACTTATATGAATTATATTTAGACCATGTAAACTGTATTACAGAACTCAGTGTTGACCACCAGACAGGGGAGGAGTGAGCACAGACTTGTACTTGCATGAGGGAGGGGACTTCTGAGAGGCTAGCATGTTCTGTTTTGGATCCTGCTAGGAGTACTAGTCATATAGATATATGATGTGGAAAAATTCATCAAGTTCATACAGTGAACTATAAAGTTATGAGAAATAATCCAAGCTACAACGATTTAAAGATACCATGCTCATATCATGTTCAAGTAAAGAGATACTTATTAAATACTTAAAACATTCGTAACATGCTAAGAAGCCATGAGTTCCTTAAGGTAGTGGGAGGTATCTGTATTTAGTATATTGAAAGTTAAAAAAAAATTATCTTTACTTAAAAGCTGCCATTACTTTAAAATGTTACGAAGCTGCAAATACAAAGTAGAAAGTTAACCTATTAAAGTTCCCAAGAAACTGGGTTATAGTTGAGAATCTCTGAAAACACTGATTCAAAGGATGGAACTGAGTAGCACAGGAAAAATTATTTTCATGAGCACTGTTCTGAGGCTGGCCTCCAGAGCTGTCAGATCTGAAGGCCAGCGCTCTGTCTTCTGAGCTAAGTAACAATTATTTGGATTGCTTCATTATCAACACATAAAACCCCGTTTCCTGCTCATTATTCTGAACAAAGGAGAAAAAGTGAGCAATAGAGCAAAGTCCTTTCTCCTCTCTCTCATAGAAGAGTCAAGTCTAAGCCCCGTAAATCTGTACCGCTTCAAACGCCACCAGGATCCTTTCACATTGAGAATTCTGCATCTTCAAGTAAAGATAAATAGAACAAAAATAATAAGCCTTATTATTAGGATAGTTTGGTTTGAAAAATCTAGCTCCTTGGTACACATCAAGCAATTGAACATTACCTGGTAAATGCAGTTTTTCCCCTCTGCAATACTTAGGTCAAATGCCCCAATATAATTTGCTCTTCAGACTGTTCTTTAAATTGTTATAATTTTTCATACAACCCACAAACACTAGTAAACAGCCAGAATAAAAAGTCTTAACACAATTTTGATGACCTGTCCTGCTTAATTTCTTATTCACAGGGTATCAACATTATCAAAATTACTACTTTGAAAGATCCTGTGAAGCATGGAAGAGTTGACCCTACTACAGTCAGTGGAAGAAGGAAAAAAAGCTAAAAAAGGAACCTAATAATTTCACTGTGTTCTTCTGAATTCCTTAAGTTGAAAACATCAAAAAAACAAAAAAATTGGATCATGGTATTTCAGTTTGTAATATAATGCTTCTTCAATATTCTACTCCAACCCATTTTAAATAAATCATGGCATACTTACTCCTGATGAGTTGTGCAAAATTTAGCAAGCTGTTCAAAATCTTCACTGTTAAATCCTTTTTCTGAATTCCTTAGAGGCATCACTGTACGTGGCTCTGCAGCTTTCCATTTTGTTTCTAAATTTAAAATATTTAGAAATATTGGCTCTTACAAAACATATTTGGGTACCACTGTCACAATTAATATGCAAAGTTATTTTCTCAAACAACCTGAAAGTTAACACAGTGAGAAATAGCTAAATGATTACTTCCCAGTGTAAGAAAATATCATCCCAAAGACTAAATTAGCCAGTAGGGCGTGCAGAAGAAATGAAAACACTGATACAAAGAGTTAAATACAAAGAAAAATCTCCCTCCTCTTTCCCTTCCTACCTCCTCCCTTTTGCTTCCCTCCCTCGCTCCCCGCTTCCCATGGTGCTGGACAAGGTCTTATACTTGCTGGACAAGCTGTCTAACGCTGAACTACACCCCCAGCCCCATGTTTTGTAACATTAACTTGACTCTGTAACTCCTATTCTTTTAACATGCAAAATCAGGCTGACTATGTTAACTTCGTAGATAGCAATTTGTTAATTACTGATCATTCCACATTCTAAGTTAGTTTGTACTTACCCCACTGTTCCTGAATGGCAGAAAGGTTTGCAAGCAGTTGCTCATGATACAGCCGTTCAAGCTGAATGAATTTCATTGCTTTTTCATCTGAATAGAAAATTTGAGGAAAATATAAACCAGACTATTCACATTAAAGCCCATGTTTGAAAAGGAATGTCCTATAGAAGTTGAGAAATTTATACCTGACCAAAAAAATGAGAGGACTCTGAATATTCTTAAATTTAAGCACATCTAAAGAAAGGTTTCTTGGCTTTGAAGTAGGTAAATTTACTGCAACATATTATGCAGAGGCTCTGTGGGTTCCACACTATCAGCAAACAGTAGAAATTAGAAGGTTTTAATACTTAAGGAATGCCTGCTTAATTATGTATTTCTAGTTGAGTCTACTAAGGTTGCTTAACTGGAAACAGGACTCACATGGAATCTCAGAATCTGTGTTTCCCTTTTTTAATTTCTCTCTTTGAATGACTTTCTGCCAAGCAACTATCTAACCCTTTAGGCAACTTTTGTTTCTAGTCTCAATTTGGTTCATCTTTTACTCATTTTTCTCTCATAAGCTGAATGCATCACACACTAAATAATGGCAAGGCAAGACATGACATGGACTGTTTATGGAAGTTTAATTCATTCACCACAGTGACTTTCATAATTATCATACAACTTTACTTTTTGTTGATCTTATGACTTTTTTTGCCTTTCCATCTGCACCACACAGATCTGCATCTTATGAGGTCAAGATACACCATCCAACTGCCTACCTTCCTTTGGGCAATGTTCTAAATGTTGACCCAGAAAAAAGGCAGAGAAAACCAGAAGGCATAGCTCTGTGTCCTTCTGGTGAACACTAAGGCTCGGCTCACCTCTAACTTCCCAGCTAAATGACACCCTTCAACTAGACATAAGGCCCAATGCAGAACAATTCTCTTGTCCTTCTGCCCAGGACTTAAACTGACCAGTGTTTCTTAAAGTTTACTGAAGATAAAAATCATCTGAAAAGGTTTTTAAAATACAGAGTTATATAAACGCGCTCATTCTGAGACCCAAGAACTTGCCCTCATGGTGCTTCAGGGCTGCTGCCGTTGCCGGTCTACACTGACAGAACACACTTATTATTTCCTTAAGAAGACAGAGTTCCCTCTTCACTCTCTCAGACAGATTTCCAACATCCTTAGGAACAAACTGAGCTTGTAGCTCAGTTCACCCGACAAGCCGTCTTAACATGATGTTCCCAAAACAACAAAAATCACCTAATGAAACTTTTCTTAGGACAAACCGCCATTGTTAAACAACTCCCGATCACTGCTGTAATGACAATCACAAGATTTATGCATAAAATTACCTGACATGCTTTAGTATATGAATATCTGACTTGTATATATTTAAGAGAAAGAAAATATAATAGATTTAAGTTTCTTTATCAGCAGCATGTGTTTTCCTCACTCCCTTGGACATAAATATTTAATCTTAGTAAAATTAGGGTTTATTTATAAAGGCCAAATTTAGGTGGTTCTAGGGATGTTCTGGAGTTATGTATTTTCCTATACTTTGCTTTTTTTGCACATCTTATTGTATAATTTTAAAAACTAGATAATCTCTAAAGAGTTCTATGAATTTCTTCTTATAATTAAGAAAAGGATACAATCCTCTTCCTGGAAATAGGATTCTGCTACCTGTTAAAAAGAAACAGAAGAGGTTAATATGGAATGAAACAACAAGTTTAGAAGACAGCAAGATCCTGAAGTTCAGAATGCTTTTGATATGTAATTGACAAAAACTCTTACTTAACCACATTCATCAGGTTAAAGGAACTCTGCAGGCACAGGACATAAATAGAGTCTTACTCATTTCAAGCACAGCAAGTACAGGCATTCTTTGGCCTCTATACCACCATGTTTTTTCTGTTCTATTTCAAGTCATAACAAGCTTCACTTATTTCTTAAAGTTTAAAAGAACTTTAGCTGGGTGTGGTGGCGCCCGCCTTTAGTCCCAGCACTTGGGAGGCAGAGGCAGGCGGATCTCTGGTCTACATAGTGAGTTCCAGGACAGCTGGAGCTACAGGGAGACCCTGTCTCAAAAAGACCAAAAAAAAAAAAAAAAAAAGAATTTTAAAACAATTATTTTTATTTTATATATTAGGAGTGTTTTGCCTGCATGTATCGAAGGCCCAAAGAGGGCATCAGATTCCCTGGAACTAGAGTTACAGATGACTGTTAGCCCTTAGGTGGGTGCTAAAAACTGAACCTGGGTCCTCGGCAAGGAGCAGTCAGTTCTCTTATCAGTTCTCTCCTGCCCCAACTTTAAGATTTCTTAAGACCTTTATTAGATATAGTAAGATACAGTATTTATAACTAGATCAACAGTCCACATATATATTTTACACTTTTACATTTATCTGTGTGTGTGTGTGTGTGTGTGTGTGTGTGTGTATGTATGGATGCACTTGCTACATCACACATGTAGAGGTCAGAGGACAAGTTTCAGGAGTGGGTTTCTCTCCTTCCACATGTTGGTCCTGGGGATTGAACTCAGGTTGTCAGTCTTGGCGGCAAATACGTTTACTCACTGAGCCATCTTGACAGCCCAGTTTCTACTGATTCGTACTAGGTTTCTAGTCTTTTTTTTAAAGGATTTCATTTATAGGGCTGGAGAGATGGCTCAGCAGTTAAGAACACTGACTGTTCTTGCAGAAGACCCAGGTTCGAATCCCAGCACCCACATGGCAGATAACAACTATCTGTAACTCCAGTTCCATTCAACCTTTTATAATGCCTACAGAATGAGGAACTCATATAATGGTGCTACCAGTGGTATGCTGATAAGCATTTAAGAGTTGGTCTGGGGTTTTGGGGGCTCTGACGTGTGGTGTCTGTGGGTTTCTGTGGTATATAATTTGGAGCTGCCAGTACTTGGGACATGTCTGAACAGTATCACCATGGGTTAGTATCAGCAGGTTCCAGTGTATCCCTGGGTTATGCCTAACAGAAATCGCTGGTAACATTTTATCTACTGACTTCCAGTGAAAATTAAACAGTATTGCACAGAGTCCTATTAAACATGACATGAGATATAGTTTCAGGATGCCCTTTTTAAATAAAATGTCTGGCTCTTTAAAGCCATTTTCTGTGCTTTTTTTGCATCTGTGCATCACTAGCACCTAGTTACTTATTAACTGCTCTTCTTATTTGAGAAGTTTTGATGGCTTTAATATCTATTATATAATCAGATTTTTGTTTAGCGCTGCAGAAATATAATTTTCAGTAAGTTTTTAGGTTTCTGTGGCAGATTTGTTTTGTTTTTGAGTCAGAGTTTTACTGTACATCCCAAGCTGACTTTGAACTCACTATGTAGCCCAGGCTGACCTCAATCTTGCACCAATCCTCCTGCCTGCCTCTTGAGTACTGGGATTATAGGTGTGTACCACCACACCAGTGGCAGTTCTAAAGCCATAAGGGGAAAGGGAACAAAACCCATGCTTTGAAAGTAAATGCATTTCTACATAAATGCAGCTTGAAAAATAAATATACAGAATATTTTCCTTATAAAAATCCCCTCCACATAAGTCTAGCAGGACAAGAGAAGATATCCTATATGTCTAGCCCTGCGAGGCGGCCTGGCAGAGCAGATGGCATGTGGGGTTTGGAGGTGAACAACCTGGTTCCTGTAGTCCAAGTTCTGCTACTTAGCAGCTATGGGACCTTGAATGTCATCTCAAGCTTCAACTTTCCTATTTTTTTTTTAAATCTTTTTGAGCAGGGTCTCCCTGTAGCCCCAACTGGCCTGGAACTTGCTATGTAGACCAGGCTGGCCTCAAACTCAGACCTGCCTGTCTCTGCCTCCCAAGTGCTGGGATTAAAGGTGTGTGCCACCATGTCTGGCACAACTTCTCCCTCCCTCCTCTCCCCTCTCTCCTCCCCCTCCCTCTTCCCTTCCCCCTCTCAGACAAGGTCTTGCAGAGCATTTCAGGCTGTCCTGGAACTAGAAACTTCCTGAGATTCTCCTGCCTCAGCTTCCTAACCCAGCTATAATTAATCATTTTGTATCCCTGACTTGGTGGATACTTAGAAACTATCAGATGAATGAATCCCTCAGATGCTGCAGTTGGGCTCTATCTTGAGCCCATTCAATTTCCTTCTCCCTTCTTTGCAGTTCCAAAACTCTGCTATAGCCAACACCTAGTGAATGAAGTCAACAAAAAGAAAAACCACCGACTTCATGCAAGTATCTAAGAAAGGCAGGTTGGAAAGATGCTGTGATTCTCTCAGGCATCTTGCTCCACAGGTCCCCTGCCCCCTTTCTTTTTTTGTTTTTCAGACAGGGTCTCCCCCAGCTGGCATAGAACTTGCTATGTAGACCAGAGTGGCCTTGATCTCACAGAGATCCTCCTGCCTCTGCCTCCAGTCCCCTTTTGACACAGACCCTTTCAACAAGCTGTCTCCAGATTTCTTCCTTAAGGACATGCAGGGATAGTGACTCCCAGTTTCACTCAGTGTATTTTTTTTTTTTTTTTTTGGTCTTTTTGAGACAGGGTCTCCCTGTAGCCCAGTTCCAGTTGTCCTGGAACTTCCTATGTAGACCAGGCTGGTCTTGAACTCACAAAGATCTGCATGTCTCTGTTTCCCAAGTGCTGGGATTAAAGGCCTGTGCCACCACATCTGGCAACTTCACTTAGTCTTAAACTACATCCCCCATATAATGTCTCTGTTCTGGAAAATTCTTGTTAGGGTTTTGTTTCTCTTTGGAAGCATTATTACTGGGACAACTCCTGGGAAATAGGAAGACAATCTTCACCCCCTTCCTGAGGTCTGTGAGGGAGAGGCAGTTTACTGAAGTTCAGACCTTGGAACCTTGAAGGACTAGATACCATGTAGCAGAGCTGAATGCCACAGTTCTTGAATTTTCCCTGAGCTAAGCAGTCTTCCAAGACTTACTGCAACAGGGAGCTTTCAATGCAGGCCTATCTCATCTCCAGCTCAAGGCACCCCAGACTTCCCAATTACTGCATCCCACAAAGCCTCTTTCAAATCAAATCCCACCCCCAAATAAAGGAAAGAAATCTTGTGCAGTCATTGTCCACTAAAAAAAAAAAAAAAAC